TATTAGCATCCGCTAACTAGCGCGTTAACAGTGGTTCCCAACCCTGGCCCTCGAGGCACACTACCCTGCACGTGTCAGTTGTTTCCTGCTCCAGCACACCTGACTCAGTGGTTTAATTACTTCCTCAAGTTCTGCAGAAGCCCGTTAATCATCCATTCATTCAAAGCAGGTGCGTCAAAGCAGGGAAACAAGTAAAACATGCAGGACGGTGTTCCTCAAGGACCACTGTTGGGAACCCCTGCCTTAGGACATCAAACTCTGTGTTTAATGCAAACTAAAGTTAACAAAGACAACCATCACCTTACACTTGTTTATATTTTTCTTTTTTATTTTCTTTTCTTTATTTAAACGTTTATTTAGAAACACTCGTTGAGAGCTAAGATCTCTTTTATAAAAGCTAACCTGGCGGAGACAGGCAGCAGCAGTTTGAAAGCACAAGAAATATTAAAGACGGAGCAATAATAAAATACAAGAGTGATAAAACAGTTAGGACGGAAAACTGAGTGAAACACTTTTAACCACACGTGGCTTCAACAGGAAGTTTAAGAATGAACGCAAACATGTTAAACGTCACGGATTAGCTTTACCGATTTATTTACCAGCTGGTGTCAGTTTAGGAATCCAGACTTGGGGTTTGGTGCCAACTAAAGATAAAAACAAACCCAACCAGGTTAAACATCTTACAAGTTTTTACCATCTCACACGCAGAGGTCCAGTCAAGTCCGGCTTGGTCAACTTCTGGTTCAAAATGGCCGACTGTCATCTTCGACCCACCTCTTTGATCAACCCAACCCATGATCCAACAACTTCACAGAGTTATCAAAATAACCCGGCAGTTTTCAGTGTTTGCTCGTGGGGTTCAGCCGTGTTTGTTTACGACAGCCCGCCTCATGTTGGGCAGTCATGTGACTCCTTCAGCTTTGTTTACATTGAGCGCAGACCCACATTTCAGAGTTTTATATTAATTTATCTGGAAAACTACCGGCGTAAACGCCTCCAAACGTCCCCATTCCATCCGGTTTGATTGAACCTTTTTATGTTTGATTCATAGTTTGAACTGAGTGAACTTAAAATTATATTTTTCAGCTCAAACCTTTCTAAACGTTCCTTAAGTTAGCCCAGTTTGTGTGGAGTACAGAGGAGAATCTAGGCAGAGATGATAAAAGCACTTGTTGTTTTTCTTCCGTTTCCTGTCAAGCGTCGCCTACTTCCACAGGATTACAGAATTAGGTTATTGGTGCCGCACGCTGCTGCTGGAGGCCGGGCCGCGCGGCAGAAGTTGCTCCTCTTTCTCCGATACGAGGAAACTTCTCGTTATTCGGGCTGACGGTGAGGACAGCAGGTGCCGGAGGAGGAAGGGGAGCAATAAATGTGCTGGAGGAGCAGCTGGGGCTGCACACCGTCCTCCTCAAATGAGAAATCTACGCCGAGGTCAGGGTCGGGGTGTGTTTCAGCTGAGAGGAGGCGTCAAAACCAGAATAATTAGTTTTAGAGTTTAAGAGACGGAGGATTAAAGCCGCTGAGCGGCGAGGAGACGGGTTCGTTTCAGGTGCCTCCACAGTTTGAGGTGGCACGTCGGTGCCGTTTCTCGGAGGTCAGGGTGGCCCTGAGGGGAGATCCTACAAACGCTGGTTGCCATGGCGACGCCTCCCCTTCACACACTCTTTTAACTCCCATCCTTTAAGTGATAAGAGCCGGCGTCTGCCACTTCAGGTTTAATTTCACCTCCACGCCGCTGCTGTGGAAACTCCTGACCATGCCCCCCCCCCCTCCATGAAACCGTCCCGTTACACAAACTTTTGATTTCTCCTCGCCTCCCGCCGGCTCGTTGTAATCACACCGAGTCGTCTCTAAATCCTGCTTAACAGGACTGGACCCGAGGCGTACATCTGGCCCTGGATGTGCACTAATACTGTTACAGACGGGCCTCCCTGCTGTTTAATCCCGCTCTGCTCCGTCGTCCCACTCCTCTAATATCACTTCAACCTAAAGTTTGGTTTGGTTTTTTTGGTCTCGTTTTGTAGTCCTGTCCCAACCTGCCCCTCCACGTGGACGGATCATTGTCTCGTATTCCTCCAGTTTTCTCAGAGTGTTACGGAGCTTTTGTTAAGTGCGATCAAACGGCCATCGAGGATTCAAATGAGTTGTTTTATCTGCAAAACAACAAAAAAACGAGTCTCTTTTCGTAATTTATCTGTGGTTTAAAATGTTGAGGTGTCTGCTCTGAAGAAGAGTGGTTTTTATTGAGGCTTCTGGCGTTTTACGTGTCCAAACTTCCTGCAGCCAGCGGGACTCGAAGAGGCCGGACCGTTCGGACTCAGGTTGGAGCACTAATCAGTTGACGGGTCGGATAAAATAAAAACCTCGTGTTGTTTCATAATCGGACGTTTACGGCTCCAATCGTTAGTAAAACGTGTTCAAACTCAGTTTTACTGTTTGTGTCAGTTTGTTCTCATTTTTATTGACTTTCTGACACAACATAAGACGCATCAACACAAGGAAACTCACATTTCTTTAACATATTCCAGGCAAGTTGCTGTAAATGCATAAATTAAAGTTTAGTTGCTTTTAAGGGGCTGAAGTATTGAGTTATGAATCCGATAGTTATAATAGGACTGTGAGAATTAAGAGGCAACCCTTAACAAATCAAAAAGACTTTGAAAAGGATTTTTCTTCTAAGACTTTAGTCTGCTGGGCGGGTTTGACCAACGACCGAGTCAATAACCTAATTCTGTAATCCCCTGAAAGTAGGCGACGTTTGACAGGAAAAGGAAGCGGAAGAAAAACATTAAGTGCTTTTATCATCTCTGCCTAGATTCTCCTCTTTACTCCACACACACCGGACTAACTTGACTTACGGCTCATTTTAAAAAGATTTGAGCTGAAAAATATTAATTTAAAGGCGCTCAGTTCAAACTATGAAACAAACATAAAATGGTTTTTCACAAACCGGATGGAATGGGGATGTTTGGAGGCGTTTAGTCCGGTAGTTTTCCAGATAAATTAATATAAAACTCTGAAATGTGGGTCTGCGCTCAATGTAAACAAAGCTGAAGGAGTCACATGACCGCCCAACATGAGGCGGGCTGACGTAAACAAACATGGCTGAATGGGACGAGCGAACACTAAAAACTGCTGGGTTATGTTGATAACTCTGCAAAGTTGAAGCGTCAAAGAGGCAGGTCAAAGATGACCGTCAGCCATTTTGAGCCAGACGTTAACAGGACCGGACCTGACTGGGCCTCTGCTTTAGGGTGAGTAACGGTGAGACGGTAAAAACAACTTGAAAGAAAATGTTCAACCTGGTTGTGTTTGTTGTTCACTCAGTTTGCACCAAACAGCAGGTTTGACTTCCCACTGTGGCATTAGCTGGTGCTAGCTAGCTGATGCTAATAGCATTTCTGTGTTTCCCAAACATTACTTGCCTTGGCAGGGCGTCCATCTCTTCCGTGGTTTTTGTCAACGGGTGGGGGGGGGGGGAGCCCGAGACATGTTTGTGTTGCGTGCTGTTTGTACCGATGGGGGGATGCTACCTAGCTTTTTAGCTAGTGCGCCTGTATTTCATGCCGCTAGCTTAATGCTACGTCAGTGCCAGCAGTTGTCGACGGGGGTGGATGGTGAGGGTTAAGGGCCTTGCTCAAGAGTGGGACAAAAGAGGGTGGAGGCAGGTGTGCACCTTTCCCACCCACATTTTGATGTTGTCAGCACAGGGAGTTGAGCCAGCGACTTTCCGGTCACAGGCCCATCTTCTCTAACCTCTGCACCACCACTCCCCATATTTAGCCCAACTTTCTGGCATGTAACTACTCCGGGTTGGCTCGGTCCAAACTGCGCCCGCCGCAGTGCTGTTCTTCACCTTTCAGTTTTTAGTGTGTGGAGAGACTCGACCGCATCATTCTAAACTAAAACGCGTCCATTTATCACATTTTTACATTCGTCTAAACACGAAAACTAGAGTTTCACAGCATTAACATGTAGTTTTTATATGGTATGTAAAATAAATCCTGCAGATTTTACCATCTGTTTTTATAGACGGTTAAAATTTAAAGATAAAAACGTGTAAACTTCCACCCGGGGCTCGATTTTCTGTCCCAGGAAGCAGGAGGGAGCAGTTTGTGTCTGCGGAGGCTCCGATAGCTGAGATGGAGATGCAGACCAACAGTATTGCTGCTGTAATCTCTTTTTTTAACCGAGTGGGGGGGGGGGGGGAGTAAAGTTGATAAACAAGCGTTTTTGTAAAGAGTGCTGGCTGAGCTGTGCACGTGAGGCGAGAGGTGTCAAACTGGACAAAAAGAGGGAAGAACGAGCAGAACATGAGACCAAGGTCAAGGATTTATCTCGAGTTTTGTTGCTTTTTGAGATTTTACTTGGCGGATGTTTAAAATCTGAACTGTTCGTGGATCTTTGAACTCGTTTCCTCACAACGACCGACCCAAACCTTGATTCTGTCCCACAGAACCGGGTCCTTGTGCAGCAGTTGGAGCCTCTGTAAACTCAAGGGCGCTTCATGTTTCACAACGATCTGCTGCAGAGACGCCCGAGCTTTGTGAAGGTGATGGGGGTGGAGGGGGGGCGTGTCTATAAATATTTAAATATCAGAAACAGAACCGGGTTCATGACACCGGCCCGGTCCAGAAAATCATCCTGTACCTGAAGTTGAAGCTCGGTCTTTGGGTTTGTCGCCTCCGTCTGGGGCGTTTTTTTAACGGGGGGGGGTTAATCTGCCTCCTCCTGGGAGGTGATCAGAAAGATGAGTGAGATTTTATTACTTGGATGAAACGTAAACAAAAGGAGACGTGGGGTTTGTGTCCTTCCTGCTCAGGTTCTGACAGCCGAGGGACAGCCTTTGTGTTCGACGTGAGCCGTCTTCTTTTGACTTAATGAAGGAGGGTCTCCCCCCTCAACACCACCACCATCACATCTACCGGTGCTGATGCTGATCTCTCCACCCCTCCCCTCTCTGTCTCCACCCTTCCCGCCCCCACTCTGTCCTTCTACAGAAAATGAGTTTCGGGGCGAGCTGGTGAACCAGCGGTGGACACGAGGCGAGAGGACGAGCAGCCGCTGTCAGGCCTCCCAGAGACTGCAGAGCCGCCGACCAATCATGGTGAGCGACACCCCCGACCCCACCCCCACCTCCATCACTCACCACGCCCGACAACGCCCCCTTCCAGAGCCGATTCTGCTTCCTGTGCATTTCCCCCGATCCCTAACTCAGCAGGGAAAGGCTGGGGGAGGAGGGGGGAGGTGTGTGTGTGGTTGTTGCAGTGTGGGGGTTGGGATGGGGGGGCATGAATCAAGCAGCACATCAAATGCAGGCCCGGCCCACCCCCCTCAGCCTGGTTTGGTCCCGTTAAGCTCAGCGTTTTTCACTTCTCCTCTCAGGACGTTTTTATTTTTAATTTAAACAAATAAAAAACATAAACTCAAAAGGATGTCCTTGAGTTGCTCATACTAATATTTCTTTCTGGCCCGGGGGGGGGGGGGGGGGGGGGAGTTATTCTGCGTTTTCAACTAAACCTCCCGCTCCTCGCTGAAACTTGTGACCCCCGCTGAAATCATTTCAAGGATCCTCAGAACACCTGATCCCCCGTTTCATTTCCTTTGAGTCAACAAAGAGACGGAGGGATGGAGTGGGGGTTGTTTTCCCCTGGGCTCGGTAAAAGTAGTCCCCCCCCCCCCCCCCCACCAGCACCACCACCAGCTCATCTGAAGAGATGACTTTTATTGATTCGGTTTGATTTCTGCCACAGCTGAGGAAGGAGCGGCGTCGGTTCAAACGCTGCACCAGAGGGTCAGAAACGGCATTTACTCTCCGGTCCATCATCGTGTTTCTCATCGCCTCCTTCCTCATCGCCTCCTTCCTCATCGCCTCCTTCCTGATTTATTTCAGCGTCCGCCTCCCGACCCGGACATTTGATTCCTCAGACAAAACTTCAGCTCGTCCTTCCTGTTCCAGAAGCTTCTGTGGGCTTTGAGTCCCGAACAGTTGTGCAAATGTTGCGTTAGCTCCATCTGCTGCAGGTTGGATCTTTATTATCAACTTTATGAAAACTATGACGTCTACAACCTTCTTCTCGTTTTTATTTGTCCGTTCCTTTTCGGCTATTCTGGCAGACTGTGAGCTATTTTAGCTGCTCGTACATCGAGATGGGTGCTTTGATGTTTGTTTGTTTGTTTTGTTATTTTATACTTATGCTACCTGGTATCTTTAGATTTAAGCTAGTGTTGTTACTTTTAGCTATCATTTAGCTACCACGTATCTTTAGGTTTAAGCTAGTGTTTTACAACTTTTAGCTAGGTGTCGTTAGGTTTAAGGTAGTGTTTTGCTACATTTAGCTACCATTTTGTGTTTTTAGGTTTTAGCTAGCTCCTGCTATTTTAAATAGCTTTTTGCTGCATAAAGTTAGCATTTAGTTATATTTAGCTTTTAGTTAGCCTTTTGCTACATTTAGCTTGACGCTACTGTTTTGCTCATTTTGGCATTTAGCTGATCTTTTAGCTGTTACAGGACCGTTTCAGCTTCTTCGGTGGTCACTCTGTATTTTAGTAGAACATTCAGTTTCTGGAGCTTTAATTATAGTTTTGGTGACTTGAGGTTCGTCGGGTCACGACGAGGCCGGGATTGACCCGACTGTCCAGTTCTGCTCTGATCGTTCAGCTGGTTGACACCAGAGGAAATGAGCCGAAGGTCGCAGCTAAAAGAGTCGAGATCGCATCAGGACGACGCTCCTCGCTACCTGCTCAAACCGATAACCGGGGGCTCGCCGACATGGAGGCCGGGGGCTCGCCGACATGGAGGC